TCTCCATCCACCGAAATTATGTACCAAGAGTTTTTAAAAGTTATATTTGGGCATCCTACATGAAGATGAAGATGAAAACAAAAATACCAATTATCCTAATGATGATACACAAAGTGATAATTATAATAGCATTGATAACATGAAAAGATTATAATCACCATCACAATAAAGGAAAACAATGAATGAGACAGAAAATGTGACTCATTCCCTAATTAATTCCTTTTTCTTTTTTTACATCATATGTATTTGTTTGCTCAGTGTTAATCAATACTATACATCTTTCTTCACAACGGCGTCCGCCACCCTGACCTGCTTTTGTGGATTAGTTAACTTCACATCAGCTAAGATTATGATTATAAGGTTATTTGTGAATTCGTGTGATTTTGGTAGTCGAGTTTTTGAATATTAATTAGTTCCTCGTTGAGCTGACACCTCCCCCACTCCGCCCCCTACTCTTCCTCCTCTATCTAATCAGACTTAAAAAATGTAAAATTAAATGTGTAGGTTCCCATAAATGTGCCACTGAAGATACGCAGTTAACCGTATACAGTTATTACGGGCAAAGAGCAAAACTTTAAAGTGCACGCGACAATCTCAAAAGATTATCTGGGGAACGATAATCAATAGGGACATAAAAATTAAAGATAAATTAATTAGGGTTAGCTCATGCAGTTTAGAATTTAAAGTCAGTCTTGCAATTAAAATAGGTTGTTCAAACCCGTGATGCCTCCTCTTTAAAGTGACATTTCCTAGGTTTCCCTGAATTCCTGAGGTAAAGTCTAACCATGACCTAAAAGCTACCAGCAATACCTTTCAGGTTATCGCTTACACTTCCGACACGCTTTTTCCCGATAGCCTTTGTCAAAAGAACTGCATTTATTTTTTTTTTTTTCTCAGAGGGCACGGTAACTGATCCTGGAATCTTATTGGTACTTAATGCGGTCCGGGTTTTCCTATCTCTGCCCACGGGCACGGTACCGCTTGAGCGAACCGCCGATTACATCTGTAGCTTTGTTGCCATTTTTCATAAATTTATTTCGTTTTGCCGGCTGGACAGTATTTTTAAGCTAATCGTTTTGGAGCAAATCAAGCCGATTGATAACTTATTCATTCTCTCTTTCTCTCTCTCAGATCACTTTGTTTGCCTGCAAAAAAAATTGGTTTTGAGATGAATATTGGTAGCAAATATGTCATTAGATGGGTTAACGCACGGCGTAAAAGCCGCTTGTAATTAACCTAAACCTTTCTAGAAGTAACTCAGAAAGTTAAAACGTGAGGTATTTCTTTACAATTGAATTCATCAATGGTAATTTCATTCATTATGTATCTGAATTTGTTCCTTGGAGAACAGTGAGCAAGGTCTTCTATACTTCAAATACGCTTTCGGTAAGTCTTTAGAAGTCCGTTCAATCCGGACATTGGTACCGTAAATTTCGCAACAGTAAACAAAGGAATTCAACGAGAAAAAGCTACTTTAAAATTCCCCTTTTGATGAAAGACCAGAGTTGCACTCGCGATTGCAGCAAACAAACGAGCATTAGGGCTCTTATGGAAAACATTTCGTTGATTTCAAGAAAAAAAAAACTGTTATTCACCAGCCTAGGTTGGTCCGTATTGGGAAAAACTGTGCAATTTATCTCAACTACCGGTGCTCAAGACCTTGGGCACAGTGTTACCCAATACAGACCTTCCAGCCGGTGAATAACATATTGATCACTGACTTGTACAAGAAACACACGCCCGGACACACAAAAATAAAAGTACTTCGATGTGTTATGTTCAAAACAACATGCATACACGGAAAATTTCACGGGCAGTGTGTTCAACTACTTATGCGCGCCTAAAAGTTCATTCATCGCTCACACGTACAAGTTAGGTGGGCTGAGTATATTCTGTGAACAATGTTTTTTTACTTTTAAGAAGCAAGAGCAATTTTCATGACACACGTGCAAGACTGCTAATGTTTCAGCACATTATATGCTTTATGGTTGGAATGTGATCTTACCTCCTGGCATCTCGCAAATGTAGGCATCTCCTTTATCATTCCGAGAGATACCATTAAAGAGGCTTCCATTCATGGATATTTCCGCCCTTTCGTCGTTCCCATTTGGCTCAGAATCTCGCCATTTCGAAATATTCAGCTGTTGTCCACTCTTCCATATCCAAACCCCGTCTTTCTTCTCCAAACCAATGAGCCACGCATTAATAGTCGAAGTATTCCAAGTAGCACGCTTTTGAATCTCATGATTGATAAACTGCCATTCTTCCTCAGTCTCGATTGAGACTAAATAACCTCCCAAGATGGAGCAGACTTCATTGTTATAAAACCTGTAAATTTTGCCTTTCGAAAATATGTAAGAGGAGTTTTTGAAACAGGTTGGTTGGCACTCTATAAGAAGAAAATAAATGAATAAATAAATAAATGTAAAAATGTATACTGATGATAACAACAGTGAAAGCAATAATGATAAAGACGAGAAGGTTTATTTTATATTATTAATTTTCATAACAAACGATGGGCATCAAAACCCTCTACATCAATGAAGCAAATATTAGAATTAGGCTAGGTTTTAAAAGTGGATCTTGGAGAGATCAGGTTAATAGCACCGTTATTCTTTGACTTTTTGTTTTGCTTTCCAACTTACGTTTTGAATCGCAATCCTATGTAATTTTAAAAGGAAGTCACTCTATAACTAATTAATATGATACTTAGTCAGGCATTATCTTTTTTTCCCGTTCATGTTAACGAACATAAATATTAAATTGGAATGAAGCTGCTTCACCTGTCCCTGGTAATTTCATCAACAAACGAAGCATGTCTGTAGAAGAGAAAATGGACAAATAAATTGCTTGTTATCTCAAGAGTAACATTTGAAACAATGAAAAAGTTTATTAGATTTCGAGTAAAACGAGTACTAATTCATTTTATTTGCTACATGCCCTTTAACATGTATTCATGAATTTTATTACCTTCCTAGGGAGCTGACGGAGAAATTATAAAAAAACGCAGCACCTCCGCAATTCACCAACTAGCTCAACAAAACTTGTCACATGTGGAAACATTTTTAAGGATAAGATAGACCCTTAGGAATGTCCTTCGGAAATTTTTTTAAACGGGTTATTCGGAGCGCAACCGAACTATAAATGAATGAAAAGGA